CCCCTCACCTTTTTCTTCTTTCTGGAGCCTCTACCATGACCCCAACCATCCAGCGGGTTTATTTTTAGTCTTTTCCCAGGAGAGCCCCTCTGTGGGCTGTGGTCCTCGTCACGCTCAGGGATCCGTCCCCAGCACCCAGGTCAGTCCATCACAGATACGGCATCTTGATGTTCACGCCGTGTGCCACAAAAGATCCACGGGGAAGTCCTCATCTGTGGATTGAGCTTGTGAAGGAGATGTCGCCCCCAATCTTTTCTCTGAAGCTTGTCTTTTTTTTTTGGATGCCATATACTTTCATTTTAATGTTGCTTTTATTGTGGGAAAAGGGATGAAAGAACAGATCAAAATTAATGCAAAGAGGGGCCAGCCCAGTGGCACAGCGGTTAAGTGCAAGTGCTCCGCTTTGGCCGCCGGGGTTTGCAGGTTTGGATCCCTGTCATGCCATGCTGTGGCGGCGTCCCATATAAGGTAGAGGAAGATGGGCACGGATGTTAGCCCAGGGCCAGTCTTCCTCAGCAAAAAGAGGAAGATTGGCATCGGATGTTGGCTCAGGGCTAATCTTCCTCACAAAAACAAAAACAAAATTAATGCAAAGAGAGCAAATTATTTGTCTATCACAGTGCTTTTTATTTGTATGGGGCTTTGGACTTTTTCCTGTTTGTTTTTCATTTAATTGTAGGAACACTAGACAAATAGGTTTTAAAAAAGGAAAATAAAATTAAAATCCCATCATCCACACACCAAGACCAGCCTTGGTCCCTTCCAGACTGTTCTGGGTGCGCCCGTACACTTACACGGAGCATCTGCATTTCTTTATGACCGTGAACATAAATACTGCCTTGTGGCCAGTTTTCCACTGAGCCTGTCATGAATGTCCTTCCGAAACGTTAGTCCTAAATAACGGAGTTCTCCTAACCTGGTGGCTGTGTTGTCCCGTCCTGGAACACCCAGTCCGTCTGGTTCGCCGGCCCACTGTGGCATCTGGGCTCTTCTGTGTTCTCCCGACAGGTCACGTGGGCGGCCGTCACCGTCCCTTTCTACAGACGGGACAGGAGCAGGGGCAGCCCCACTGTCCTCTACACCCCTTGCATGTGGGTGAAGGAGCCAAGAACCCAAGGGGGAGGGGACTCCGAGGGCCTGTTCCCAGATGGGGAAGAGCTTGGAGCAACGCACAGAGGCCAACACCAGCCAGCCGCAGCCCTCGCCGGCGTTTATCCACCTTTCCAAACTCGTGCGTTAGGACTCATCCCCCAGACCTGTCAGTGGACCGCGGGGAGAAGTAACTAGGAAGGAGAAAAAATCTCAGCGACACTGCGGTAGTGAAACACTTTGTTTTTTATTGAGAACGTCTCAAGTCCTTTGTCTATGTGACAGCGTCTCATGCTCGGTTCTGGCTGGTCTCGGTGCGAGAGGAAGCTCATGCAGGCTGTAACGTGTGGTATATACATCAATGTACAGACAGAGAACACCGAGGAGTGTGTCTTAGCAACAGGTTTCTTGGCTGAATTACATTCACATAAAGTGTCCAAATTCTAAAATAAAATTAAAAGCATGATAAAGTCTGGAGAAGCAAACAGCTTTTGGGGCTCACTCCATGAACATTCCACTCTGTGCCTGTAACCACTCACGGTCAAGTCCAGGACAGCCCCCAGTTCCTGATGCACCATCAGCCCACACTGTGGCCAAAATAAGTGTTCTTGGGGCTGCGGGCTCATCCCCCCCAACAGTGGATGAAGTGCAGGCGGCGCTGCCAGAAACAGGATCAGCCAGACCCTCCCCTCCGCCTCCCTAGCAAGTGGACAAGGAACCATGCGCCGAGGGCTGGCACCTGGTTAGGGAGAGGTGGTCACAGGACACACCAGGGGACAAGGACACACAAAACTGGACGCATGATCACAAATACTCTGCTCTTTTCATTTAAATAGTTTAGAGTTGATAAAAAGAAACGTTTTGAGAGCTTCTCTAATTTAATAGAATTTAGAGATGGGAAACCTAGCTAACTTCATTTCTCACGCTGGATCAAATGTATGGTTGGGGAAGACTTTATATTTTGGTGTAAAATATTTTAGAAATGAAAGAGATTCATCCGTGTTGTATTTTTTTTTTTTCTGAAAACAGTGGGTGGCCCGGCGGGGACGCTGCCTTCACAGATGGAGCAGTGATTCCACAGTGCAGACCAACAAAATTATTTGACTAAAAATAAATTCCAGAGAAACCAATGCCTTGTGAGATGTTGGCTTGTACATTTTAAAATAAAATTTGTTTTCATTACTAGAAAAATCTCCAATAGGAAAAGATGAGGAAAAGTTCAATTAAGACTCAGAACCAAAATTGCAGTCCACTGGCGTCCCTCGCCTGGAAGAGGGGAGACCTGACCCTGAGGAGGCGGTCAGGGCCAATGGACGCGGCTGCGAGGACATGCCCCACCCTCGGCCCCTCCTGAGACCTCCACAACTCGGGCTGTCCGGCTGGCAGGACAGCTGCCCGCCGGCCTGAGCACTGCAGAAGGGCCAGGGTCTTTGTGGAATTAACACTTCAGGTTTGGCTAACAGAACGGAACAGAAATCCTCCCAACCCACACTGGTCAAATGTCCTCAAAATTTACGATTTTTCTCAAAAAATCAAGTTCTTGGTTGTATCAAATTTTCTGTTAAGTCTCTGAAATCCAGAATAAGGATATTGGATGCAAAATAAGACCTGAAGGATATAATGTACTGTATATAATGCACAGCATGCGCTCAGAGGGGAGTTTAAAGTGCTAAGTGTCCTGATTTGTCTCACGGACGAGCAACACTTCCTTCTTTTTTCTGCTTTACGGATGAGTTGTGCCAGCTGTCCTGTCCCAGGAGCAGAGGCTGTGCAGGCCTCCTGTCCCCGGCCTGGGGCCTGACTCATCGATGGAGGCTCTGCTCCCTCCCGGCCCGGGGCTCCCCACCCCTCCCTGACCGACCCTCTGCTGCCTTCCTCCCCAGGCCTGGGCTTCCTCGGACGTGAACCCTGCGTCGGCCTGGCCTGGACAGTCCACAAACCCCACCTGGGGAAGGTGGCAGCACACAGCTCATGGGTCCGCTGGGAGCCACCCACGCACAGTAAGGCATTTGTTTACCTGGGGTGGGGAGGGGAGACTCAGGCTGATTCCAGCTATTATCTGACAGAAGGGAACACGCTAGACATACTGATTTTTTTGTTCGTATGTACATGGAATATATTTCCACTGGACTTTGTAACCAAAATCCACTTTTTTTTTTTTTAAAAACTAAGTCCATCTCCCAATCCCCATTAGAAAAAATACCATTTATAGAGATAAGAATAAAAATGCAGAGACTCACAAGATGTTTTTCCGAGTGTGCAAGAGCCTACTCTGGGGAAGGCAGCGACCCACCAGACCCCTTTCCTTTTATAGGTGCAAAGAAAACTCCAGCACATTCTAACCAAACCAGACTCCACCGTGGCGATGGGGGGCCTGAGCCCCGAGCTCTGACTGGTTCAGGACGAGCAGCCACCCTGCAGAAGAGGAGAAGGCTGGTGTGGGTGCCCCTCGTTCTCTGACCCAGGTCAGTCGCTGGCAACGTGCCACCCCCGCCGCTCCGTGTGGACACAAGGAGACATCAGAAGGCACGGCGCTCCGGGTCTAAACCTCCCGCTCTGAGTACACGGGTGTGGGCCAGAATGACAGTGGCTGCTCTGCTCCTGTTCTGCATTTTCTGAGCCCGTAAAGGACACAGGACACAGCTCGATGCTGCACAGGTGTCGACATCCTGGACTTCGCCGTGGGGTGGGGTCTGCCTTCGTCTCTGCCTACAGCACCCAAGAGACCCCCTTTAGAACCACGAATTGGCACTGAATGGGCAAAGGGCAGGAAGCCCTCTCTCCAGTTCCCCTGATCCTGAGTGGAAGCACAAGGCAAGTGGTGCGACCCTCTGAGGCCGGGTGGAGGCGGGCCGCCAGGGGCCTGACCGCGTGCCCCACCTTCCGGTTGGCTCAGCCTGCCCGGGGCCGTCCTGTGTGCTGTCGGGTGCGGAGCAGCATCCTGGGGTCCCCCCAGACGCCAGCAGCACCCCCTTCCCTGCCGTGAGAATCAACATCCGGACCCTGGTTGAGACTATGCCAGTGGCACGCTGTCCCACCAGCTGGCAGCCTGAATACTTATTTTTCAAACACATCTTTGATAAAGCCGGAAAGAATAATTTAAAAATACGCCTTACGTGGCGTTTTCCAAGAATGAACATCTACTTAATTAATGCTACTTCCATCCTGTGAAGATCTGTGGACAGCCATTCCTGTCCACTAGATTCAGAGGAAGGAAGAGGGAGTTTATTGTGCAGCAGGCCCTGTGGATTCCTTCTAGTCCCTACAAGTTAAATACTGTTTAAAAAATCCAAATGAATGGCCAGGGTTACTGGCCATGTTTTATCTTTGATTATTTAGAAGTAAACCAAGAAAAGTTTTCCACGATATGATCCTACGAGGAGCACAGAAGCTTCTAGAGGAGGCTGAAGGCTACAGGGACCTGGGCCGTGACTCCACGGGACACACAGCCGGGTCACCGCACTGCAGACTCGTGTGCATGGAGGGTTGGCCCCATCATGCGGGAGTCTCCTCCCGGGGCAGGCTGACACCTGTGGTGGGAGCTCCATCATGGAAGTACCGACGGGGACAAGGGACCTCGTGTCAACATGCCCGACAGTTCTTTAGGTTACTACTTCTATCTCTACGTCCTCACCTCCTCCATATAGAAACGCTTTTTTGCAATTAAAATAATGTGGTGTGAGTGACCTGACATAATTACTTATTTTATAAACCACGTTCCTAGCTCTGAATAAATTATTCAAGAATTTCACACAAAGTAATTTCTATTTTCCTAAACTTAAGGAAGTCCTACTCAGTAGAACTCAACTTCTAAACGTAAACTGAGATCGAAGAGTTACTGGATGATCCACAGGGGGAACGCTGCTGCAGAGAGACACCAGGTGGCAACGCCAGGCCCTGACGCCAGACCCCAACACCTCCCACACCCTCCCCAGACCGCGCCTGCCCCAGGTCAGATGTGAGGGTCTGCTGGTCAGCGCTGGATGCCCGGCAGCCCCACATCCCCATGCCTGTCCCCAGGTCAGATGAGGTTCTGGGAACAGACCTGGACGCCTGGCACCCCCACATCCCCCATGCCTGCCCCCAGGTCAGATGAGGTTCCAGGGACAGTGCTGGACGCGCAGCAGCCCCTGCCCCGCGCCTGTCCCAGTTCAGATGTGAGGTTCCAGGACGACGCTGTACTCCTGGCAGCCCGGCCTCGGCCCCGGTCAGGGGGTGAGGGAGAACTGGTCCTGCTCTGTGGGCTTCTCCACCCAGGCGCCCAGGCCCGCCTTGATGAAGGCTTTGAACAGACACGCCTTGGCAGCCTGGTACTCCTTCGCTACCAGTTTGGACTCGTGGTACATGTTGGGTTTGGTGATCTTGGAGCGTAGTAGGTTGGAGGGAACCTGTAAAAAGATAAAAAAACAAGTACAACTGTTTAAGCAGTAACAGTAGAAAGTAAAACTCACACAAGGTGTTCAAAAAATGGCATTCGTAGGCTTCTGGGGGGAACCACCCAGGAGAAGGTGCCTGCCACTGAGGGACTGCCACCCACAGAACAGGCGTGAACACCCTCTCTGAGGGTTTGCTTCTTGACCCCAAGGAGCAGGTTGTGGTTAAGTGGGCAGCTGTAGACCCCAAGTTCTGGGGGGGGGGTGCTTCTGGCAACCCACCAACAGTTGATTCACATTTCAACATTTTTAGCTATTTAAAAAACACCACCTCTGGCGTTACGTACATTTTATCACACTGATGACCCCAAGGCATTGCCTCCCAGGGCTAGCTAACTCTTTTTTCTGCAGACTTAAGACCACCAGCACGTGTGAGCACCCTGCTATGTGAACAGGGCCTCCCCAACACGGTATCTGCTGTCCGTCCTCCCACACCAAGTTTAGTGCCAGCTTCACGATGAATAAACGCTACAAACTTGACTCACAAATAAATGAAAACTAGTAATACGCTGATTTACTACAGAAGATTTCACTTGGGGAAAAAAAGGGCCCTGCAGCTTCTGCTACTAAAAAAAAAGTGCACAGCCTTCCTAGAGGGCTGCACTGAACCCAGGGCCTGTGGTGCGGCCAGGAGCCTGGCTCTTCTTTCTCAGTGAGTCTCCCGTCTGAGGTCTCAGGGGAGAAGGTGCCCCCAGGAGGAGCGAGGGGCAGGGTGGGAGGGTCCCAGATCACGGGGCAGGAAGGAAGAAGCTGCCTCCGAGGCCGAGGCTGCTTTAAGATTTGAAGAGCCAGGCCAGACTTTAGGCTGAAAACCACCAAGGAACAGAGAGGTTTTGAGAGGGCTGTGGGGACAACACAGTGGGGCTGACGGGAGCGGTCCTGTGAAGGCGGACAGGCTGTGGGGAGGTGGGGCCGGCGCGCCGCTGTGAGGGCACCTCAGTACCTTGCCGTGCACACGCATCCAGCGACAGTACAACGCGTGCTTACACAGGCGGGAGGCACGGCCCAGCTCGTCCTTCCCTGTCGTGGCGTTGATGACCTCGATGGCTGCGTCGCCCACCGTCCAGTTGACACTGAAGTTGGGCGCCTTCCCCGGCTGCCGTGCTTCCGCGTTGCTGATGCCTGGAACAGAGAGACACGGCGAGGTGATGCGGGGCCCGGCATGGCGCTCGGCGCCTGACAGGTGTGCATGGCCCAGGCGGGCTCACCCCAGCCCACTGCCACCTTCTGCTGCCCAGAAACACACTTGTCTGTGCTGGGCAGGCAGGCAGAAGGTCCACAGAAACCTAAATCCGTGAGACCGCACAGCACTTCTGAGGTCGCAGGCGCCAGGAGAGCTAGAAATCTGGACGGCCCATGCAGAGATGGGCAAGCCACTTTTGGGATTAATTCAGGGTCCCACAAAGTCATGCTGCTGGGGGCTGCTCCTCAGCACATCACGCCCAGGCCTGCTGCTCACGCCCTCCATGCCCCACACGCGCTACATCCAAGATACAAGAAATCCTAATTCTTAATATGTGCCTACACACGTTTTCTTACCACATTTAAATTACCCTGTCTTAACTAGTCAAAGGCTCATTTTGTGGGGTTGAAAGTTTTTTAAAAAAACTCAGATAACTGGGAATTAAATGCACATATCCCCAATGGTATATTGAGCTTGAAAATACATATCACATGGATGATACGGCCCACAAAATCAGAACAGATTCAGGGTGTGAGTCTTGAGAACAAACCTACAGCAGGAGCGCTGACCGAGCTCACGGGGCCCCCCTCTCCTCCCTCACTCTTCCTCTGCTCCGGTGACCAGTTACCCCTCCCTTGCACAGGAAGCTAAAGACAAGACGAGCAGGTCTGGCTGGCTCATGGTGGTCCCTCAGGCCTGGGTCAGAGTGTGGAGATCTCATGTGAGGCTTCAACAAACAAGCCTCACTTCTTTAGGGCAAGCCTGCAGTTTGTGTGAAGGCAGGATGAAACAGCAAAGGGAGAACGTTCACCTCTACATGCCACCGAGGTCTGGGATATTTACTGAAAGTGACAATATGGGCTTAATGTGAAGTGTGTGCCCTTGTGAGCGGGATGGAATTCCCACCCTCTGGAGGGCCAGCAGAGGAGGGCAGTCAGGGGAGGACTCCGGGCACTGCTCTGCCAGAGGCTCAGGATGGGAGGGGCGGCCTCGTCTGCACCTTCGCTGCCTCAGGCAGATGCGTGTTTGAACTTGAAGACTCAGTACTATCAGGGCAAGTAGGTGCTGTTCCTTAAAAACTCCAGAAAGTGTAATAAGCACGTCGTGCTCCAGCTGGGGGCTTCTTAAAGGGTCACTGTGGCATTTAACACAAATCCTGTGGACACTGGAGGGAAGCTCCTCCCCCGAGGATCACTCTCCCGACGGCTTCTCCCAGGACGGGAAAGAGGCAGCTAATGCTCCTTTCCCGTGTGGAGGAAAGACCTCAGGGTACCAGAAGCTGGCGCTGGTCCCGAGAGGAGGCCTCATGCTCGTCAGCAGCCAGCATTCTCTAGGGATTACGTGTCACCCAGAGATCCCACAGTGAATTCTAATGTGACTTCAGGTTACAATGCACTAAATGGACACTTTAAAAAACAATCATGCATTTACAAGAAGACTGTACATTAAAAGGTGCACACCCTCTATCCATCCACCCACAACACTGACCAGTGTCAACTATAATCTTCTGTTGTGTTTGCCACAGTGGCCACCTGTAAGGTTTTCTCCTGAGCACCGCGGGGCGCAGTCTAGCTGCCTAACCATCGGCTTTGGAGCCATCTCCTCTACACAGTCCTTCTCAAAGACCCAGTGAGGAGCCTGAAAGTCAAAGGAGCTCGATTCCAGCTCAGCGACACCCCAGTCCAAGACATCGATGAGGCACGTGTGAGGAATACACCCGCCACAGACGGAGCAGAAGGTACAGACCGCCCCACTGTCCCTCAGGTCACAGGACTGACCTGCTAACATTTGCAAAGACATGCGCTTCCAACACTTTGCCTCCAGCCAGACCTCTCCCCTAAGTGCAGACTCATCCTCTCAAATGGCCACCCAATGGCCACAGGAATCTAGTGTCTCACAAGCAACACTGGCCATCAGTGCTGGTTCACGCCACCTACCCTCCCCTGCCTGCCCTCCTCCAGCGTCGCCAACCTCAGTCTCAACCCAGGGTCCTTCCATCTATCCAGCCGAGAGCCTGGAAACCTGGAGGTCATTCTTAATACACGAGACCTGATTCTGAGGAAAGGTTTCTGCCTTTTGCATTAAACTGCTGAATCGTTTGTTCCTTCTAAGATGTGAGCATTTAACTACTTTACTTTACTTAAGTGTCTTAACTGAAGCAAAACAAATGGTAAGTGTACAGCTTGATGACTTTTCAGAGTGCGCACACCCATAGCCGGCATCTGGTCCATGAGCAGAGCCTCTGGGCCTGGAGGCCCCCTGCCTCCATAGTCACTGCCCTGCCCCACGGAGCCACTACGCTGCCCTCCAGCATCACTGACCTGTGCTGCCCGCTCTGGACTTGAGGTAAGTGGGGCTGTGTGTATACAGGGATCCCTCTGTGTCGGGCTTCTTTCAGTAGAGATCACGCGTGTGAGATTCACCCACATCTCACACAGCATGGCGGCCAGCCCCTCTCACGGCTACACAGGATCCCACGGTGGGAACACACCACAGATGCTTCCTCACTTGTTGCTTTTTCTAGTACTTGGCTCTCTTGAGGAGCGTGCACAGGTACATTTCTGATCGTGTGTCTTGGTGACACGTGTACGTACTTCTGATGGACATACACTAGGGGGAGAACAGCTGGGTGTGCGTGTGCTCAGTGTTGCACATAAGCATTGAAAGCACCAGACAAACCAGGCTGAGTTGGCTAAAAGAGTTTTTCTACTTAATGTGAAAATGTCACAGAAAACCATAAAACAAACCCACCACTAGGTGTCTGGTAAGGAGGAGGGAATAATGAACCAATCAGCAAACTTATTTACCACTTAGTTCAAGAAATCACTTAAAAAGCAGGAAAAGCAAACTGAAAGCACAAACCCATTCAACAACACTGCCTTCCTAAAGAGAAATCCCACTGGGCGGATGTCTCCCAGTGCCTAGCGCACTTTGATAAAAGCACAGCTAGGAAAGTTCTCGTGAACCAGGAGGCCACATGATGCTCTAATGCTGTTCACGTAATGTCCCTGATGTACAGAGAATGTTTTTCTTCTTCAATTTGTAAGGATAAGTTTTAAAGGGTCTGGGTAAAAAGATAATATTCACAACTTCTAGGTTAAATTTTGTCCTTTAAAAACTGAATTCTTGGGCCAGCCCCGGTGGCTTAGTGGAGTGCACTCTGCTTTGGTAGCCCAGGTTCAGTTCCTGGGTGCAGACCTACACCGCTCATCTATCAGTGGCCATGCTGTGACGATGGCTCACATACAAAAAAGAGAAAGACTGGCAACAGATGTTAGCTCAGGGCTGATCCTCCTCAGCAAAAAAAAAAAAAAAAAAAAAAAAATTGAGTTCTTAGAACCTCCGAGACAAAGTCTCTCCTTTTTCTCTAGGTGTCACCTCATTTTGATAAAACTGTGTCTGTTCAATAATGACACAGCAACAAGGAGCATCTAACTGACCCCACCAGAGCAGGCAGAGCTGAGCAGATTAACCACCTCCCAAGGGAGCCGGACTCGGGGGCCACTGGAGTGAGAGGTGCAGCCCACCTACAACTCCATTTCCCAAAAACAAAAAGAATTGGAAAGAGATGGCTGTAATATTTCTTTAGAAGGCTTTAAACCTTCATTAAATTCTGATATTGTTGACATAAACAAGATGATACACGTGAAAACACTTTTTGGAGGAGAGCAGATGAATAAGCGCAGAGGAGTATGGCTGCCTGAGACTCTGTGGGAATCCTGCCGCCAGTGGCCGTTCTTCCCCAAAGAACGGGCACTGAAGGGCTCCAATCCGGCGTTCTGGTCACACTTTCTCCATCACGTGGTTGTGAATCTCCACGGCATGGGTCCCTCACTCCGCCATCTCATCACAGCAGGCAGTGACGGGTGGGTGGCAGACACCCAGTTCTGGTGTGTCACACAGCCCCCACACTCCTCTCCAGTCACGTCCCTGCTGCCAGGCCCTCCCCTCCCGTGGCCACTGCTGCATGGCTGGGCAGACCAGCCTCCCACACATCAGCCTGGACGAAACATCACACCTCAGGTGAGGAACCAGAACGTAAAGGGCAGGATGACGGAGCCTGAGGTGCAGGGGTCAGCTTCTCGGGGGAGGAGCGGCCCTCCACAGACATTCGCGGGCAGTCTCTCCCTGCAGCTCGTCCTGCCTGCTGAGCAGACACACCTTCTGCCCTTGTCCTGAAGCGGCTGCGGCTGAACTAACCTTTCCTTTCAGATCTTCCCCACCTCACTTCCCTGTCATCTACTCTGCTGCCCTGAGCACACTTCCCAAGTAAAGCACCTTAAATCCCACCTCAGTCTGCATCCCAGGGAATCCGACTACGACATGGAGAGGTTAACCTAGCTTTCAACCAACGTGAATCCTATAAAACTAGCTAGTTTGGATGACCAGGTGTACAGTCAGGTGTATGTTGTAAAAGCAGTTTATCTTGGAGGGTAAAACAGAAAGGACCAGTGTTCAAGGATGGGCATTCTATGTGTTATTGCAATTTAAAAATAAGTTCAGACTTCCGCTTCTGGGTAAGATGGAGTTACAGCTACTGGATTTACCCTCCTGCCTAAAAAAAACCATAAAACCAGACAAAATACATGAAACACCAGTCTTCAAGACCCTGGACATCAAGTGACGAAGGATAGCCATTCCTGAGAGACGGAAACAGGAGGTGAGTCCCACGAGTGCCCCAGACAGCTGCCTTGAGGTTTCTAGGCAGCAATGTGTGGAGGGGAGCCCAGGCCAAGCCTGGCAGACTCTTTGAATTGAAGTACAGGGAAACCAAAGTGGCCCGAGTTCACAGGACAGAGCAGCAGAGGCGAGAGAGGGGCACAGAGGGAGCCCTGAAGACAAGCAGAGGCCTGATCAGAGCACACACATCACTTGAGGCCCAGGGACGACTGCCTGAAAGGATTAGAGGGAACGTGCCAACACTCACACAGAACATACA